CCGATATGCACTAAATCTGGGCACTTTTGCTCTATGATAGCTAGGGGGATTCTGCAGAGTCCCACCCATCTCACTGACTAATTTGAGTATTCCTGATAATCTTCGTGATTAATCAATGATTGATCTAAGATCTGCATACCGTCCCTTGTGGTTAGTGATTACTCTGAGATTAGATAGTGCTGATTAGGGCAACCTGTGGGTTTTCGCATATAGCTTAAGAGCTCTGTTCCTTATATATTTTTTGACCGGATCTATTTTAAGATCTCTTAGCATGTCATTCATGCGGATGTACCATGGCACTTTGAAGAGCCTTCGGAGAGCCTGACTTTAAGCAACTTTTAGCTTATGGATAGTAGAGTCGGCAGCCACTGAAATAGTTACCGGAATAGAAATTCAGCGGCTTCGCTGGCTATTAATATGAATGACCATTCGAACGATAGTACGAATAGATTAAATTGCTCCGATAAGATGTTTGACGTCGTACCCAAGGAGTAGAAAATGGGGTAGAGGACGCTCATATCTTTGATTGAAAGATTATGTGACCATCTACATAAAGTACTCGGTACTACCAATTGACGGCAAAGGGCCACTGATCGGGCTGGTAGGAGAAAGCTACTGGATGCTGAAAAATACAACTTACGTCTGCAATGGCCAACTTAGCTTGTGATTATACAATCTTTAATTCCTTCAGCAATATTTCCAAGTTTTCCATTTACTAATTCATCGGGATAGTGCTAATATGCACATCTTACAAGAAAAAGCTGGAATCGAAACGACTTTTTTTACTAGTTGAAGAGGATTTACCCAATAAATCCCAATAAGTTTTTATATTTTATATTTGACACCACATATAAAAGCTTTATGTTTTATATATTCAGTGTTATTGGTAAGTCTTCGTTTTAGAAATTCCATTGATTCCATTGATGTAGAACTTCTGTGATTCATCGACAAAATATTTGGCCAAGTGATTTTCAACGGCCCTTTGGTCAGCCTATTAAGGGAGTTTTATATAGGTGAATACATTTGAGTATCACTTTGTATATGTTAATTAATTGAATTTGAACAAACCTGATGCATTACATACACTCAAATTATTATTCTCTTAATCTATGATAGTTTAAACAAGTATTTGATGTGTAAAACAAATTTCTGTTAAGCTACAAACGTTTTTGGGGTCCAGCTTTTTCGTGTCCCTTGTTCAAACTCTGTTTTTTGCCCCCCACCTCAAAATACAATGAAATGCACTTTCTTATTAAATATTTATAGCTTCTACTGACTATCTCAATCTAATTAAAAAGGGGCTGTTCACTGCTCGTCTGTTCATTCACTCATCTCACTTTTATGATAAATGTCCTGCACTTAAAGCGGAAACTCCTGTTCTTCATCTTTTATGATTATAAATATCGGCATATAAACAAACGGAATCGTGCCATGAGAGATTCTTTCTGATTAGGTACGTCTGCCGCCGTTTGCCACCAGCCGTAAAACTGCAATGGCAAATGTTTATTAAAATATTTTTTAATGTGAGCTCATCAATAAAGGACTAAACAACGTAACGCAACAAAAGATACAAAAAACAACAAAAACAAAGTCATTTGTCAAACATGAGTACGTTTGTACAGATACATTTCTATGTGAAATATAAATCCTTTATATATCCTGAAGTTAATTCGATATCCTGTTTGTTGATATGTTTGTGTACGTAATTGTTTTATTTACAAAATATAAAGAAACTATTAGTTTATGTACAAATAATTGCCATGCACCTGCTTAAACGTCCACATGAGCAATTTTTAATTTGACTTTCAAATTATGTATCCAACAAAGTACTGCACTCATGTCTGTCCTATGTATTTCAGAGTTGCTCGTTAGAAAAAGGCACACGCCAACGACGACGAAGTTAATTTTTATGGTTGCATCTCAGACATGCAAAGATAAAACTTCATACTAACTGCCGATGGCTTATTCTTGTCGGCATATTTAGTCTTTATTACTATTTTTAAATATAGTCAAGGAAACTTATGTGCATAACATTTTTTATGGTCAATAGACCTCAGTTTTTGTGCATATAGACTTGGTCTTGTAACATACGAGTATCGTATATATGTAAGAGAAATGTTTCAGTACCTCTCCGGAAGTAAGCTATGTCGACATATAGTTTAGTAGAAAACCTTGCTTAGAATAATAAAATTTACAGTAATATGTTATCAAATCGCGGTGTCTAAAAATTCAGAATTTGGCTAATATTTTTATTAATAAAAAATATTTTTTTCGAATCTTGATGATCAAATTATCAAAGTCGTTTATATAAATTATAGAAGAGGTCCACTTATTGTTACTCCCTGCATCTATTAATCTTGACTACAAACTAGTCTAATGGACCAGCGCTATCGCGGATTGGGGGAAAAAAACGAAAAAAGATGATAAATGAAAATGGGAATGAAAATGAGAAAGAAGTTAGTTAGTTACATAGCTGTGTTCAGACTGACGTAGTTGACCGCAGCAGAAACCAAGAACTCTATAAGATAGACTCTATTAAGTTCCATCGGTATAGACACATTGTTATTGCAATCTAAATCATCGCAACACTACCGGTATACACCATATGGGATTTAGATTATTGAAGCAAGACTTAAACATTTTGTGAAATTTGGAATAAATAAAAAGCGGAAGGTGTTGTCAATATAATATATGTGATGATATATATAAATAAATATATAATGGATAGAGCCCTGAAATTTTTTGCGAAATCTGATAGACTTACCAACACCGCGTCATTAAATATGAGAATGGTTACAGGCTCCTCGGGGAGGTGTGCAGATCTGAGGTCAATTATTGCTTAGTCTGATGAAGTGATAAACAATAATCCAGTCGAGGCGTAAAGAGGGATTTTGAAAATACCTCGCAGTTAATAGAGAGTAAAAGTGCTCAAGTGCACTGGCTGAAATAGTTACAACATAATGATATACAATACATCTAATCCAAGCGCTGAAAGCTTTTGGCGAGTTACAAAATTTATATGGGGTCTCAAAATATATTGATGGAACACTACACATTTTCTATTGATAAATATCGACCTTTTCTGTTTAAATGAATCATCCAATTTGTTCAACTGATAACATTAGCTTCAGAATTGATCATTGTGTTGTTTAACAGAAGGTTCAAATGAACTCTATTTTTTTAAAACTCCAACAGATAGATACAGATAGTATAGTACTTTTTGATAAGTACTGATGTTTGAAGTGCTCTAAGCCGGTTTATTTTTTACTTTTTTGTGAATTATGATATCACTTTCCGAACAACTCAAGATATTGGACCATCATCTAATTAAGATCATAGCGTCACACTTCTCTCAATTCTAACAAAATTATAAATTAAAAGTAAATTACTATAATTAAGCAAAACATCTGATAATTATTAATACTACATTTTGAATCATTCTTGATGAATTTAAAGAAAATATTCTCATTGGGAAGAATCTGCTTCATGTTTGGTACGAAAACTATTTGGAAAGCCTCTGTTCGTCTCATAATGGAACTATTGATGACTTAACAGTTTTTACTGCTGTATAATTACCCGACTCTCTCGAGAACTCGACAAAAATACTTGGGGGCTGTTAATTTTACAGGGCTAGAGCACAAGCCTGAGGTGATCCAGTGTGCATCTTGAGTAATGCATACTATTTTTAGAAATGAGATTCTGATCTAGTATCGCAATGGATGTTAATGGTCTACGAGTGGTCTTTTTGGCCAGCCAGCTTAACCTAACCTAAGCTAACAGTTTTTTCAGTAGTGGAAATATGCTTTTATTATTATGAGATGCAAAGAAATACATACAAATTTTATTCAGATATTTAATTTAGTTTAATTTGCAAGATGACTTGGCACTTAAATACATCAATCAAAAATACTTATTGTTCTTACGATTTTGCAAACGGGAGCAGGATTTGTTGCTTTTTTACTATTATATCCCTTACGAGTACATCAAAATTATAAGCATAAGTTTATGATGTAAAAGGAAGGACGTCGGTATTAGCGAAAATAACCGAAACGCAAACATGTTTTCAATTTGAATTCATAACAAGATAATCGATCCTTTGGGATGCAGCAGCTCAACGTGCATCCACAACAGAAATATTTGCCGTCGCTTTCGTGTCTGACTGCGGCGATTGTTGCGTCGGCAAACGGCGAATGGTCCCTGGGCACAAAATGTCAGGGATTTTGGGAATATGAATTTATATCTTTTAATCTTGGCACAGCGCAGCAAGAAGGAGGCAAAACAGATATTAAGGACAATGGACATATTTCGGAGAGTGTAAGCACTTCTGTTTATTGTCAGTTATCTGCAAGTACAATATTAACCGTGCAAGGATGCGTTCAACTTGTTCCAAGTTGATATCCAAACGTTGAAGTGTTCGAAGCATGTGAAGCGCAACCTACACTCCGGATTGAGTTGCTGTTCAGAGTAATTGCATTAAAATGCAATTACAAGTGATGGGCATTGATGCGACGTTACACTTATGAAAACTCATGCGCAGTTGAGGGGAGGATTTGCGTTGTAGGCTGTGAAGGTAATATTTCCCAGGATATGCATAGCAACGCTATATGTTAGTTTATATGTTAGTGTTTTGGTTGGTTAGTTGTGACGTTAAAGGTCGTGTTTGTCACATGCTGTCATTGTTCTTACTTCATATAAGTGCAATTCATTGTTAACGCATTTGTCGGTTGATATATATGCAATATCCTTACGATATTGTTGTTGTTGTTGTCAACGTTGTTGTTGCTCGAGATATTATTGCTACAATGGTTGTTGCATTTCCTGCTCTTAATAAAATTAATTTTGCATTTTAATCGATTGTTCTGCAAATACAAATTCGTGTGTTGATTGACTCGCATTGACTTCGTTGACATATGCGTTCAACACTATCGATTTTATGGTAATAGATAGTTTTGGGTATTTAAAATAAATTTTGAAAGAAACTAATTGTTGTCTTCCTAGTATTTCACTAGATGGACTCGCAGGTGAGACTAATCCCAAGTACTCACCCCCTTCGAAAGGAGGGCCTCCACGTGGTGATCCCTGGTAACGCTTATAGCGGCTAATGCGAGCCAAACCCGCACCTTCCCATTCCTAAATATTCCCTACTATCAACATTTCAATACCCCTATCCCTCTCCACCTCCATCTTCCCCCCCAATCCGGAATTTGCACGTGTTCATCGGACTTGTTTGCAGTCGGGGGTAACAGACTGTATTCTAGCGTCGCACCTCAATGATACCTGCCCGCCTCATTGAGTAACTGTGGGCTTACCGTGTTATCGGGGGCTATGACACGGCGGACCTCCTTTCCCCCACACTCGTGGGAATTTAATGGAACATAATTTGAATAAAAATAATAAAAACAATATAAAAAACCAGCAGGAACACACACTGCAAATAAACTGGTAAATCGGTCGGAGTCTGATATCCAACATACCGATCGCCAGGCACCCTTTCCAAAACGGAAAGCGGAAAAAAGTACTGAGGGCAAAGAAGCTAGGAACAATACTAGCTCTCTGCCAACTGAATCAAAAACGGAACTTTCGTTACGAAAAGGAAGTCAAGGAACTCTGGGTTCAAAGGTTGCACCAAAAGATGTAACGATCGAAACACTACCACAGCCCTCGACAAGCACTGGACTAAACTCCGGCCAAAGCTTTCGCGACGCCAGGAAATCTACTGGTTTGAGCGGTGCGGGTACAAAATGGTACCTGCGCTATCTCAAAGAAGGCTTAGCACCGGAGGCAGCCAAGGAAAAGGCGCTCAATCGGCCGAGGGGCAATCAAGACTCTAAGAAGAGGTCTGCCCAAGAAATTAGTCCGATCGATCATCAATCAGCTAAGAAAAGAAGAGGGAATGAGAAACCTCCACAAGCAAAGGATGGTACGCAAATGACAGCACCAAAACAACCGAGAAAAATAATATCGGGTAGCAGTTACGCTAATGTAGCCAAGAGCTTAAGAATAGCAATTCTTCCGAAATCTTACCCGGAATCAAATCTCTCTAGGGAGGAGCAAGGTAAAATCGAGGAACTTCTCATTGAGGAGATGTATAAAGGATGGGATGCCAAGCTACGATTTAGCGGGATACACTTTCGCCCAGGACTTATACTGGTTGACTGCGTAGACGAGGATGCGGCTAATTTTATCCATGGAACGGCACCTAAGCTGAACAGATGGGAAGGTGCTGAACTCACCACGTGTGTCGGGGACAAAATACCGAAATTACACATGTTGACAGTCTACCTCCCAAGAGCTAAAGGGGTCGACACGGAAAAGCTGCTAAAACTACTCATAACTCAAAATGAGGGTCTACATACTCAGATGTGGAGAGTTTTTAGCAGCAAGGATCTGAAAAATGGCAAACTCCTAACAATCGGGATTGACAACCGGTCTCAGGAAGCCATAACAACCAACGGCTGTAGGATCTTCTACAGGTTCAGTTCCGTACCAATTCACCTGCATAAGGGACGAGACAACAAGGAAAGAAGTAACTCAGCTGGGGAAAATACACCAGCTGTAGGAACGATACCTGCAACTGTTGCGGAACTAGTGGAGGAGGAGGCGACCAGGAGCGAGAAGATTGAAGATATCAGCGTGCTACCTCACGAGAGTGAGGACATTGAGAATCTAGATCTCTCTCTACTGAACTTGGCGTCCGAGGAAGACTCCGAAAGAATCTTTCTGTCAGACACCGACGACGGTCTGATAGAAGAAACGAAGGAGGAATAACCACCTGATGACCAGCACTAGAATCGCCCAAATAAATATCCACCATGCAAAAGCTGCGTCGGCAGTTATTGCAAGGGCTACGCTCAAATCGAACCTGAGCATAGTGCTGGTCCAAGAACCCTGGATTTACAGGGGTCGAATCTGTGGTTTGACTGCAAAGAATATGCAGACAATTTGGGATGTAAGATGTGATAAACCAAGAACCTGCATTTTATTGAATATTAATATCAACTTTATCTGTCTTTCAGAATTTCTCTCCAGGGACCTCGTTGCCATACAGATTCCGGCTAACATCAACGGAGTTCTACGGAACGTAGTCGTAGCTACAGGTTATCTACCAGGAGACGACACTCAGGTACCATCTGCAGAGGTCGTTAAACTGGTAAACTACTGCGAGAGAATGAAATTGCCTCTTATACTCGGTTGCGACTCCAACGCACACAACGAAGTTTGGGGAAGCACTAACACCAATATAAGAGGTGAGTACCTTTTAGAATTTATAACTAGTAAAAAATTAGAAATATGTAATGTAGGTAATACACCAACATTTGTAACTATCTCACGCAAAGAGGTCCTAGATATTACTATAGGAAATACTCGAGGTTGTGAGCTTGTGAAAAACTGGAGAGTATCCAGTGAACCATCTATGTCTGATCATAGAATTCTAAGGTTCGACATTGAAGGTTCACCAATTAACAAAAAATTTTAAGGAACCCAAGAAAAACAAATTGGGAGAACTACACGGAAAATCTGAAAGACAATCTTGTCCAATTAGGGCTAGATGAAATCATTCAGAATGAAATTCAATTAGAAAATTACCTAGAAAACCTTAATGGGGCCATACTAAATGCATATGAGGATAGCTGTCCATTAAGCCTGATTAACTCCATCAAGGATGTGCCTTGGTGGAACAATGACCTTAAAAACCTAAGAAACACTGTTAGAGGACTTTTTAACTACTCAAAGCGAACAGGAGACTGGTCAGAATATAGGAAAAAACTTACTTTGTACAATAGAGAAATTAGGGCCTCTAAACGCAGAAGCTTTCAAAAATTCTGCGAAAGCATAGAAAGCACTACGGAGGTATCAAGACTCTACAAGGTACTTGCAAAAAGCAGTAGCCTCACCTCCACAAATCTCAAGCGAGAAGATGGAAGTTTCACCGAAGGTGAAGAAGAAAAGATACAACTACTTCTGGACGTACACTTCCCAGGATCCTCTACAACTCTAGGGACGGAATCAGAACACACTGAACCCCCTAAAACAGTAAAGAAGGATGATTGGAAATTTGCCAAAAATATAATCACAATGCCTAAAATCAGGTGGGCGGTAAATTCGCTCAAGCCACTGAAATCTCCAGGTATTGATGGTGTCTTTCCGGCATTACTTCAAAAAGGAATTGAACAGCTACTAGGTCCATTAACTAGAATAGCCAGAGTCAGTATTGCATTGGGATATATACCAAACATGTGGAGAAGGGCAAAAGTGGTCTTTATTCCGAAGGCGGGCAAGAGAGATCCTACTCACCCGAAATCCTTCAGACCAATCTGCCTCACATCCTTCCTACTTAAAGTAGTAGAAAAAGTTGTGGATAACTATGTCAGGAATACTACACTGAAAGTAACTCCACTATACAGTCGCCAACATGCCTATAGGGCAGGGCAGTCGACAGAAACGGCCCTGCATCAACTAAGTAACACGATTCAGGACAGCATAGATAAGAAAGAGATAGCAATTTGCGCTTTCTTAGACATTGAAGGAGCCTTTGATAACACTTCACATGAGGTTATAAACTCAACTATTTCTAAAAGAGGAATCAATGGCACACTCTCACGCTGGATGAGCAATATGCTTCGCACCAGGAGAGTAGAAATTCCGACCAGCAATGGTAATATTTTTGCAAATACTTCGCGAGGGTGCCCACAAGGTGGAGTATTATCACCCCTTATGTGGAGTATGGTAGTGGATGAACTATTGGTAAAACTGGACAGGAATGGCTTCCAAATCCAGGGGTACGCCGATGATGTGGTAATTATCTGCAGAGGAAAATTTGAGAGTACTCTGTGCGAAAGAATCCAGTTAGGCTTAAAACTAACTAAAGAATGGTGCAATTCGGTTGGGCTGAAAATAAATCCAGCAAAAACAACTATTGTGCTATTCACTAAGAAATACAAAATAAAAAACCTTAAACCCATCCGCTTAGATGGGTTTGAAATAAAACTACAAAAGGAGGTAAAATTTTTGGGTATAATTTTAGACCAAAAATTAACATGGAAATCTCATATCCAAGAAGTGACAAAAAAGGCAACCAAAGCCTTTATGACATGTAGATCCATCGCAGGTAAGAATTGGGGATGTACACCAAAGTCACTGCGATGGATATACACAGCAGTAATCAGACCAATGATCACCTACGGATCAATAGTCTGACAGAACTGCACAAATCAACAAAGCGTTATCAACACACTCAACAAGGTACAACGACTTGCATGTGTAAGCATAACAGGAGCAATGAGAACATGTCCCACGTCTTCAATTGAAGTACTCCTGGAACTTACTCCTCTTCATATCTATGTGCAATCACAGGCGAAGAGGGCTGCTCTAAGAGTAAATACAAATAAGGTGACTGGTCTTGAAACCAATAGCAAAAAACTTGATACTTTGGCTGCACAAATCCCAGAAATTGAAATGCCAATGGACAGGATGATTGTAAAGCATAACTTTACAAAAAACTTCAAAACTGAACTTGGCAACAAAAAGAACTGGGAGGGTTTGTCTAACATCCCAAAAATAAAAGAAACCATGATAACATGGTATACAGACGGCTCTCTCACCAATGAGGGAGCTGGAGCTGGTGTTTATGGACCAGGCAAAAAATACTGGGAAGCATTAGGAAACAATACAACCATCTTTCAAGCGGAAATATACGCGATAGATAGATGCGCCAGTTTCAATCTTGAACGTAACTACCGGAACCGTAAAATTGCAATACTGACTGACAGCCAGGCAGCTATAATGGCACTCATATCTTACCAGGTAACATCCAAACTGGTATGGGAATGCATTGACAAGCTGAACACACTCGGTGGGATCAATCAGGTGCACCTTTTATGGATTCCGGGACATACTGGTATCCAAGGTAATGAAATAGCAGACAAACTTGCAAGAAGAGGCGCGGCATCAAGAATGATAGGCCCAGAACCATTCTGTGGTTTAGGCAAAGGAGCTCTATCCATTATAATGAATGACGCAGAGAAAAAAAGAGAGAGAACTCTATTGGTTAATGCTACCAAGACTCTCACAATCTAAAATGCTTTTAGGGACTTACAACCTAAAACGCTTTAAAGATTGCATAGTGCAATCAAAGACTAACATAAGAATTATTACGGGTTTACTGACCGGTCACTGCAGATTGAATAATCACCTATCGAAGTTAGGAATTCAATCCAACTCAGACTGCAGATACTGCAGGGAAGAGAGAGAAACGGCATACCATGTGCTTGGGGAGTGCCCGGCACTGATGCATAAACGAAAGAAACACCTAGGAGGGTATTTCATGGATCATAAGGATTCAAGACTGGAGAAGATAGGATCCATACTGTCTTTCATTAAAGAAATCGGACTTGGAGAAATACTCTAACCCGACAAAGGGGCACAATAGATCTTTTAGGTCGCAGTGCACGATCCCTTACTCAATAATAATAATAATTGTTGTCTTCATTAAGTAAATATCCAGAATTTTGGGATTATGATTTCAAATCTTGAATTTTATTAAAAATACGTATAACAGTTAAGATATATTCTAAAAGATACTTCAGCCCAAAAGCACATTTAAGTTCTTAGTAAAAAAATAATGTTTAAAATTTTTAATGAATTAAATATGAGAAAGGAAGGAGTGATTTATAATAAATTATTTGATTTTAATTAAATTAAAATCATAATGCCTTGACCTGAACAATTTTTGTTAACAGGCATTGTATGTACACATTTAATTTAATTTTTTTTTTTTTGTATATAATTTTTAAATAGCGAAAAAATATTTTCAAATTTAATTTCATTAAAAATTAAATTGTTCACTGCAAAAAATTTTCCTTAATATTTTTTTTAATAATTTTTGTAATTATATATGAACATAAATGTACTTGTTAATATCTTTTAAAAGTATTTCTTATTTTAATAAATTTAACAAATTTAGTTTTTTATATTCGTCATATTTTTTTTTTTAGTATTTTTGTAGCAATTTTTTGCTAATATTGAGTTTTTAATTAAAATTTTTTTTAAATAATTTTCTTATTTGATTTCATCTATATAATATATATATATCTAACATAATTTTTCATATAAATTTATCTTTTCTAACAGTTCGTGGTAGTTTTCTCTATTATCCTTTTAAGCGCATTTAATGTTTTCCATAATCGGTGACTTCAGCACCGTTCAAGTCTTCGAAAATTTCGTTTGATTGATGACGATTTGAGAATAAATTGTTGTTGTTGTTGTTGTTGTTGCTGTTACTATTGGGATTTGCATTAGGAGTTGAGGCTAAATTTAATGTGCCAGCGTAGGGTACAGCACGTAATAAAGGATTGTGCATGAAATGTTGCAATTGAATGAGACATCTACCAAAAAACAAATATATTTTATTTTATTAGCAAATAATTTCAAATATTATTTAAAACAAAAAAAAGAAACAAACTTCTAAACTTCTATAAAAACTCAAAAATTTTATTTATTTAATAACTCAATACTTTTCCAATTTTCTTTCTCCGCCTTGTAGCTCCATTAGTTCTGGTATATTGCTTTCATCGCGATAACGTGCAGCACCAGTACCCAGATTAGCTCTTTTTCCATTTGTCCAACCTCGAGAATACTGAAAAGTTTGACCCATGCATGCCATTGAGAAAAAGGTAAAGAGCAGCAGTGGCAACATTAACATTTTGCACAGGCTCAGCATTTGGGTTCAGTGAGCTTTTGTAGCAGTTCTAGATATGAAAAGATTTAAATTCAAATTTAAAAATAATTTTTTTAACAAAAATTTAGAATTATATATTTTTGTTTATTTTTTAAATTGCAGAAATAAACTAATTTAACTAACATACAGAGTTCAGATTTTAAGACTTCTAGATTATATCTTAAACGACTACGATTGACTCTGGCAGTCAAATCTAACAAGATAGGTACGTTATTAATTATACTAATTACTTAATATTCTAGGACATTTACATTGTGACCGAAAGGTTTTCGGAGGTTCTCATTTAAAATTCGCGCGCTGTATATTTTTCGATATTTTAAGTTTATGTAGTTTGGCAGCAATTAAGGACAATTACTATGCCAAAAATGAGCGCGATCTGTCAGACAGTTCGTTTACGGCAGCTGTTGAAACCAGTTCACCTCAGTAGTGCGTTGCGAAAAAAACAATGGAAAAAAATATTGAACAAAGAGTTTGCATCAAATTTTGTGTTTCGAACGAAATTTCGTGTGCAGAATCGTTGCGAATGCTACAAAAGGCTTATGGGGAATCAGTTTTATCGAAAACTCAAGTTTATGAGTGGTACAAAGCCTTTCAGGACGGTCGTACGACCGTCGAAGACATGCCGCGTTCTGGACGACCTTCGACCTCTACCACCGACGAAAACATTGAAAAGGCAAAGGAAATCGTGTTCAAAAATCCTCATGTGAGTGTTAGAGAGATAGCACGAGAGCTAGGCATCGGTCGTGAGATGGCTCGTTTGATTTTGGTGGAAAATTTGTGTATGCGACGTGTCAACGCCCGGCTTGTTCCGATTCACCTCAATTTGTTCAACATTATCAACGATTTTAAGGCCAAACATTCAATAAATACCATCGAACAGCCACCGTATTCACCTGATCTTGCACCGTGTGACTTTTTCCTGTTTCCCAACCTCAAATTACCACTCAGAGGAACGCGTTTTGAATCCATAGAAGACGTAAAACAGAATTCGCAGAGGGAACTCAAAGCCATACCGGAAAGCGCCTATAAAATGTTTTGAATGATGGAGACGTTGGCATTTGTGTATCGCTTCTAATGGAGCCATATTTTGAAGGAGATAAAATAAATATTGATGAAGATTAAGAATTTTGCGTTTTATTTATTTATGACCGGAAACTTTTCGGTCACAATGTATAAGAAACTATGGAGCAACACAAATGAATCAAAAAGAAGATTGTATTATAAAGGAATGTTGCCGGTAAAAGTCTATTGACCCTTGTCAATGTATTTGATCCTTTTTTCTTAGTTGGAGCATAGAGCCAACTCAATTGGAGCATAGAGTTATCAATTTAAGTCAAACTTTCTTATGAATGAATGATTTAAATGCAATATTTATTTGTGTTATTTATCTTTCAAAAAGTCGTTCATTATTTAATTCAAATATTTCAATAACGAAAGACTTACAGTTAAATAAATTTGAACATTTTATAACACAAACTTATATATGATTGAGCTCTTCAGTATCGGATTATTTATCGGTTCATTGATAGTTTAACTTTATTGAGATTAGAGATATTTTCTTCACTTTGAAGCAATGGGGACATGTTAAATATGAGTATTAGAAAACGATATATGAGTATCTTTTAATTTATTTAAATATTACTATAAGTGGTATTTATGACTATCATTTTAGCCATTTAATCGATTTGACTTGGTGAATATTTGTGATTTGTCTTTATACACAATCTTATTCCATTTAGTCTAATTTTTCTATATTTATTAAGAATGAATATTTGTGACTTTTTAAAGTTTTTTATTTTAATATCATAACCAATAAAATTTTGATTTGAGCATCCAAATATTTTAAAAATTGATTCGGAGAAATTTCGTGCCATCTCTTGTGAGCTAGATTTCGGAAATAAATAGATTGACTATTGAAATGAATTCAAAAGAATTTTCGGTATCTAGCGACAGATAGATGTCAGTGGGACAGATTGTTACGGGCTTTGAATAACATTGTTAATCACTTTCAATACCTTCCAAAATGTAAGTATTGACTTCGTATTTCGTATTTTTAAAACTGTTCTGCTTAAACGAACAGTTTTTGCAAGAAATATTAACTAAAAAGAAATATTACTAATTAAGTGTCTCGTTATTGATTCAAGACTCTAATTAAAGCTTTTAGTTATTTATTTTAAATTTTAATTTTTTAATTTCGTACTATACAGATTTAAGGATTGACCCATAAGTTATATGAAGCCGTATTAAGAAGAGTAGTAAAATGTGGCGATTTTAATAATAATACATTCTAATTTTTAAAGATCATGTGTTATTTTAGTATACAATAGTATTCAATCTCAGACTCATGAGTTATTTGTCGTCTTCATTATTATATTATAATAAAAACTAAATAATTTATGTCTAAAGTTAAACTGCAATAGCAGAATATTATACAAAAAGTTGTCGATTATGAAAACAATGAACTTTCATCGTAGACGGAATATTTCATAAAAACTGTTTTTTCTTTATTTATTATTATCCAAATCAAATGCTAAGCAATAGTGAAAAAAAGCAGAAGATTGAAGAGATATCAAATCTTAGATTCATCTTATGTAAATTAAGTCTGTGCGTATATTGCAAAGATCGTATTACGGTCTTTACTGCAAAGTAAACTAAACAGTACTTTTAAAACTGTACATACGCTTACAATGCACTGTAGCATTTTGTGTAATTACCTAATGTCATTAAAACAGTTGTGTATTTTCCTATTTAAGTTTTGAAATGCATTGAATTTTAAATAAAAAGCCCGTTAAGTGATGAAATAACGTGGTAGAACTAATAGAAGGTCGACGGCAATAGATCCTTTCTGCTTCTAATTTTATTTTACATAAAAAATATAAAATATTTAGTATTTTTTCTATTGATAATAAATATGACTGTTAAAACAAATTCAAAATTTTAAATTTAACGTTGTCTAACATTTAAACGAAAAGAAATAAATATTTAATGTCATCATCTGTTTAGTTTACTAGATTCTTCAGTTTCTTTCGATGCTTAGAATAGGATTTTTATTTAGTATCAATATCGTTTTGCTTCTTTGTGACAGATTTATATCACATCCTTGATTTTCTAAGACTCAACTGAAACACTTAATTTGCATATTTTCCGAGAGGTGTTTGATATTCGTATGTATGAAATTGTGGCAAACGTAAAGCATATTTTATACAACAGGGTCTGCAACAAATATTAGCAAATGTAATAAAGAAACACCCTACGGCTACCACCGCCAATCAGTTAAGAATATGTATGCTTAGTCATATATTTAAATATTTCGCAATAACAACTAACTCATCGTTACCTCATCATAGGTAAGACATGATCTTGGGTGATTTTTCAAGTTTATTTTGGACGTCACTGTACACCCTTAACTTGTAAAAAGTGTTAAATATACAAATAAATTCCGCGTATCACCAATAGTTATAACACAATAGTTAGTCTCCATGGAAGAACAATGTCTACTCATATTATTGTTTTCGAAGACTAGCAAGTAAAATTGTCGAGTTAAGTCATCATTCACTTTTGTTAAAAGTTTTAAAATGTGTGTCATAATGAAGATATAGCTGTTGATAACCCTCTAGCGATATATGTGTACCTTCCAATCAATAAGATTTTGTAATATTAGAATTTTTGATACTCAATCAATTATTGTAAAATGCTATTCTTTTGTACTATTACTGCTATTTTGATATCAGTATCGAAATCTGAAGAAAAGTTCTTAAAAAGACGACATTGAGGTAATACTACCCATTCTACCCATCCAATAACAAAGCTCGAAAAAGATTGGTAAATTAATGCGTTAGGCTTGAAAGACCTGTGACTTAGCCATTACTTATTACACATCAATATATATTTTATAAATAATGACGAAGATATAGTCGAAATCTTTTAAACCTAAAGCATCAATTCATCAACATTCTTGAAACTTTGATTCATTGTGGATATAATTATATAGGAATTAGCTTAGTAGTGACAAATTAAGTCAATAAAAAGTTAATATTTGCTCATAGCTGATATCATAATATGGACTAATCAATCCTTTGTGTGCTTGACTTGTTGAAACTGATCCAATCTGTGGTCCTTCCTAGTCACACAAGATTTCGAAGTTCGAAATGCCGTCTCTTTACAAATCCTTTTCGCAAATGCTGTCCTTTATATCGTAAAATATTTATAATAAAAATTTTTATAAAATTTATTTTTAAAAATCTTATAAAATAAATTTTTTAGTTTGCAAATCAATCCGATCTATACATACTTTACATGCTTTGTATCTATCTTTCACTTTCAATTATGTTTCAATGCAATATTATTATTTTATGGGATAGCGCTTATTGCTATTCATTTATGTTATTAAAATTTGTTATTAAATTTATTAATTTATTTTATTTAATTAATTAAAATTATTTAATTACACTTACCTAAAGAAAAAAAAATAAATTTATTAATATTTCTGATTCACTTTCGCGTTGCTCAGCGGTACGGTTTCAATCGAAAAGCTATCAAGGAAAACTGAATAATTTTGGCAAGTTCGCTTGGCCTTTTATACTTCACCAATAAAGTAGCGAAATCCAGTTTTTTTAATTCAATCCAGAAAAAGGATTTCACAAAAGGACTAAAGCAACAAGTGCAGCAGTGTGAGTGTGGCTGTAGCTCAGCCGCCAGGCAAGTACGTGTAAGTGCGGATGGCCGTGTACGCGCATGCAGATTAAGTGTGATTATTAGAACCCAATTGTTTTGAGAGTTCGGAAAGCACAAGTGGTATTTAGTAAGTGTTAAAAACCTAAAAACCTACGCCCGCCTCATTCACACAAGAACAATGACGCTCATATCACACATTTGCGCACAAACATCCTTCAGACTCCTCAAAGGATATATGCAACACCATTTACGCTCGATGAACAGATTGAATGCATTTGTTGATTAAAATTACCACTTTGGTTATTTTTGCCTTGAGGTTGCCTTGAGGTTTCACACCGTCTACGGTTGGCGTATCTCTGCTTCGGTAGTTTTCGGTAGGTAGTTTCTTCTTTGGTTTTCTTCTTTTTGGTTTTTGCTGATTGACTTTATGGCGTTAATAAAAAGACTCATAAAATCGTGGAGAGGGGGAAGTACGCACATGTGTTATTAAAACTATTCAAAACTAATGTAGTTACTCAGATTTTATGATTTTGTTTTATTATTCTACTTTCTTTTCTATAAATTAGAAAACCCAATAATTTTAAAGTATCTTCAGTTTGAGAGATTCTCATATGCAATCTATTATTTGTGCCCACACTGTGAAAAGCCCAAGTGTGGTACGTATGAGGCTGTAATTATTAGAACTTGAGTAATATTTTTTTGATTAGCTTAAGTTAGAAGAGGTTGGGTTAGGTTATTCTATAATACTATACCCAACTAATTCTATATGATTATTATTTATATGTGGTTATATTATTTTTAACCTATATGGATTGCTCTTTAAATTTATGTTTCTTATTCTTAATTATAGAAAATTAATAAAAAAAATTATTTTATAAAATATTATATATTTTTTTATATTTTACAGATGATATACAAAAACAAATAAACTATATTTAAAGACTAGTGATTTCACAATCTGGATTTGCATGGCCACCATTCGCATTGCCATTTTGACCATTTTGACCATTTTGGCCATTTTCGACAGCATTTTGAGATTTTTTACTCTTATTCCGGCGTAAAATGAAATAGCAAAGTCTATTTAATAAAAGGTGAAGTATAAATTTTCCAATATATGACTTTAATTATTCCAATTATAATAAATAATATATAATTACTTACACGAATACAATTACATTTGGTACATAGAAGATTTCGCCGAACAAGAATATCGCACCCGGAAATGTGTTGACTGTGTCGCTGTAGATTGCGCTGAAGATAGGTGGGAATATGAATTGACCAATCGGTTCGCTGATGCCGAAAATTGAATACATTTTACCTAAAAAAACATTGTGTATGATAGACATTTAAATAAAATCTAAGAACTTTGTTAAAAATTTACTCAATTCTTCGCCATCTACAATACTGGACCCAATAGCTTTAATAGCAATCACACGTAAACTGACAAACATGTCCACTACACCAGCAACATAGAAAGAAGCTGTGTCCTTAGAAAAAGCCTACAAGAAAATATTTTGTAATTAAAATCTAAAAAAATTTATTTAAAAATAAATAATTAAAGTATATTACAAAAAGTATACGCGAGAATACTATGGCCAACGCCGAAAGAATACCAATTGTAGAATCCGCAAATTTGAAAATCTTACTCAATATAGCGGTACCAATAAATGTGCCTATTTTAAACAATTAAAAAATAATATTATTTAATATTTATTGTATTGTTATATATTTCTTTTCTACACACCTACTAATGCAGCCGCAGAGGAAAATGTGAAGTAAAAACTATAATCGTTGCCGTTCCAATTTAATTTCTTGACGACGTATCGAAACCAGTAATCATTTTCGCCTATAAATTGCAAAAACCGTTTAATGAAACAATTAACAATCAAAGCAATTAGACTAAGTTTATTAATTAAATTAGTAACACAACCAAAAATGTTAAATCATTAAGTCATAAACCTAATTAACACATAAAAGTTAAAAATAAATCCAAAAGTTGTATTCACTCACCAGATGCTGGACCCAAAGTCAAAAAGTATGCAAATATCAAAAGTATCAGCAACATTCTGCCATTATTCTCTCTCTTTATGAACGGAAAACGGATGCAATCGATCGCCAGTGTGGGATCGAAAAATTCACTCAAAAACGAACGTTTCACAACGGGAGGTTCTGGAACCCGAACGGGTGCAGTAGTTGATCCTTGATTACGTGGTACTAACTCAATGTTATTTGTTTTTCCGATCTCTAGATTGGTAGTTTCATAGGCTAAATTTTCAGCACCCTGCAAAGCTGGTGGTGCTTGTGTTGGTAATGGAGGTGGTGCATCTGTAACTGTTTTATTTTCTGACGTTGCAGGCTTTACCTCTTCTAAGAAGAATATTATATAGAGTATAGCGACAATTTGGAAACAAAATGCCATGCCAAAAGACACTGAAAGAATTTCTAAATAATATACATACTTTCGTTTGTTCTATTTTGTTACTTACAAGTATAACCCAATTGTTGGAACAAGAAACCACTAACAGGTTGACCCAGGAATGGTACAGCCGTAATAAACATAGCAAAGATACCGAACCTGATATTGATAATATGGAAAAAAAAAACAATCAAATATAATATTAAACATGTTTAACAATGTATCTAACAAACATTTATAGGTTTTAACTGGTTTTAAAAGTACCTATACTTAAAGTAAATAACAGTTGTTTTAAAGCTTGTTTGAGGTAGACTATTAACTTCTTTAATATATTGATGAAACGGATGATTATTTGCTTTTTAAATATATGTGACTTTTTCGACATATATTTCATTTATATGTTATGAGTAATAAATAACATTTGTTTCAGTTTAACATTAAATAACATATATATTACAACAGACACCGCCTTCAGAAAGTTGGCTTCTTACAAAAATTTGCTGATTAATCACAACTGTTTTCTGCAGAATTCAATCTATTTAGAAAAACATTTTATTAGAATGAATAACTAATAGCTGTTTTAGTGGAGAAGAAACCATATTTCCAGGTTTAATTTTATTTTTTATTAACATGAACAATCGTATGTCAATATGGATATATGATTTATAAAAGTAATGAATAATAATTATAAGAACTTTCATATTCATTATTCTATATATAAAATAGTAAAAATAATTATATTAAATCTTATTAATTAAGTTGCAGCATACTGTTAAACCCAAACTTCTATTAAAAAATTAGCTTCTTTTTTCCTCCAGTAAAACAAAAACTCCAATTTATATATATTACGCCAAACACAAACGATCAATAATGGTCCTAGCGTTCTGCTCTCTAGGCCCCTTTTCCATTTTATATATTAAATTATAATTCGGTGCTGCTTTTCTAAGATTTAATATTGTCTTTGTGCGGTCTCCACTACATCTGCTGGCTTTCGGATATTTCGAATTTTTTATATAGTTTCAACAAATGGATATAAACAATAAATTCAAATTGGTGAAACTATACGGATATCAGAAAAATATCGGGAAAGAGGGAATTATCCAAATATCACCATGATCTGTATATCATACCATGTTTACCAATCAATACTAAAATATACTAAATGGGTTCGAATAATAAATATTTCTAAATATAAATATTGTATTACTTTTCAGTTTTAAGGTTGAACAAGCTATAGTTTTTATATAGTATAGAGACATCCCTTTTGAAAGCTCATAATAATTTGTTAGTATATTTATGTTTTATATTAATGTTAATATATTAATGTTTTATAACCTCATTAAGATCAATATGCTTTTAAAAGCAGTAATATTCAATTATTGCAGTGGCGTAACCAGAGGAAAACTTATGGAATTATAGTTCTCACTTTGGCACTATAGTTAGTTAGTTCGTTTTGTTTATTCTTTCTTCATTAATTCATATATATATTAAACTTGTATTAAGTTAAATAATACAATTCAAAAAGAAAAGTACGACAAGGTCTTTATCCTTATCTTTATCCTTATAATCTAAAGATAATATACGGCAAAACCACTGTAAGAATTTGTTTTTCTAAAATATTCCCCCTTTGCCACGATACCAGCTAAACCACTAATAAAAATATATATGGTTCACTTAATTGAAAGTTTAACTATTTATAATTAATTTTCTAGCAACGATATGTAATGACTTCTTGATTACCAATATCTATCGTCACCAATATCTATACATCGACATCCATAATTATTAAAAACTATTCTTTTATCTTACCTGAAAATTCGATCCTCTTCTGGTGTAGCAATTGTTATGTAACTATATACTGCCATTAAACAGAAAGTGATTCCTCCGAATATGGCGGGCACAATAGCTTCACAATATGCACCAAACTCCATTGGTAAAGAATCAAAAAATACCGCCGACACAAGAAGACCTTTCAGACAAACAAATAATATAATTTTTATAATTATTAAAATCTATTAACATTCTTAGAACCTTAGATGATAATGTTTATAATATATATATGTATATCTATTTACGAATATAATATTACTAACATAAAAATGAGAGTGCCTCTCCACAAATGGGTAATATCATGCATGGTTTGCGTTTGTTGTATCGATCACTCCAACCTCCAGCAAAAAGTAAAACGATGAGTGGAAAAATAGCAGCTGCAAAAAAAAAAATTATAAAGATCTTGTTATTATACCCACGATTAATTTGAATTGAATAGATTAAAATAGAAGGGAAAATATACTATTGTTGGTCCCAATAGGTGACGCTTTTGTTGCTAAATTTTTTTTAAATTAAATTTGTCTGGAATAATGAAGAAGATAGTTTTCTTACTCCTGATTTTGCCACCAAAAACATTAATTGGAAGGCCTATTTAAATGAAGTATAGTATTTTATAATAATTGAGTTTATAATGGAACAATGTTTACACTTAGACTTATCTAATCACATCAGCATGCTGTTATATGTATATTGGTTTTGTATGAATTTTGTATTAAAAGACTGGTACATATTACTGTATTTTTATCATGTTAAATACAATAGTGTAAACCTAGCATAATTTTATTATTCATATTTTCCTTAAGATTATTTTGCTTTTCTTTATTAGGGCATCTATTCAAGAAATATTTAGATATATTTTTATTACAATGTACAATGTATATTGCATAAAGTAAACGTTTATTGACGAGACGCCAGCTCCTAAAAGTAATCTAATAATTTGCTCTCTACATTATTTTTTTTTAAAAGAAGGGATAGAAAAAAAGTGACTGCTACCTAAAAGATCTATTGTGCCTCTTAGTCGGATTAGTGCGTTTCTCCAAGCCCGATTTCTTTAATGAAAGACAGTATAGACCCAATCTTTCCTAGTCTTGGATTCTTATGATCCATGAAATACCCTCCTAGGTGTTTTTGCCGCTTGTGCATCAGTGCCAGACACTCCTCAAGCACATGGTATGCAGTTGTTCTCTCTTCTTTACAGTATCTACAATCTGAGTTGGATTCAATTTCTAACTTTGATTGGTGATTATTCAATTGACAGTGACCGGTCAATAATCCCGCAATAATTCTTAGGTTATTTTTTGATTGTCCTATGCAATCTTTGAAGCATTTTAGGTTGTAAGTCCCTAAAAGCATTTTAGATTGTAATAGTCTTAGTAGCATTTCCCAATAGAGTTCTCTTTCTTTTCCACACCACATAATGGTGCTGGGTCTATCATTCTTGAAGCTGCGCCTCTTCTTGCAATTTGTCTGCTATTTCATTGCCTTAGAAGCCATCAAGTTATGGGATCCATATTAGGTGCACCTGATTGTGCCAGCCGAATATGTTCAGCTTGTCAATGCACTCTTATACCAGTTTGTATGTTATCTGGTAGAATATGAGTGTCATTTTAGCTGCCTGGCTGTCAGTCAGTATTGCAATTTTACGATTGCAGTAAATACGTTCAAGGTGAGGTGAGTCGTCTGTATATATTGTTATCATGTTTCCTTATCTTAATCCCCTCTTTATTTTCCCCCTTGTGCGAAAAAAATGTACACCGTCTTTGAATTCCATTCCTCTAACATAATAAGTAGTTCAAAGGAAGACCTTAAAATTTGTGTGAAGATTACAGAATATTATCTTCTATAGTTAATTTTTAATTAGATGTATGTATGGAATGAAAGATATTTTTATTTCGGAAGTTTTTAATCTTTGACATTTTGCAAACATTTTTTAATTTAATTTAATTTTATATTCTAAAATAATTAGTTGAATGCATGAAATACAAATTTGCACAAATTGGGCACGAATTTATTATAAATGTTGAATTGATCACATATGACACAATACAATAGCAAACAATTCTAAATACTTATGAAATCTATACAATATTTTAAAAATAATAAAACAATTAACATTTAATTATTATTTAATTATTTTAATCTCCCAAGTAACCCAGAGCAGTTAGCATTAAAATACTCGTATCCGAGTATTTTTCGCCAGCCCATTAATTCTTCAATGCACACTTATTTTCACACTTAAGAATATATAAATATGTATAAAAATATCTCGAAGTTACATTTACATAGGAAGCATTCTTAATAATTGATTTATGTTTATTTTAGAATAAAGAAATAAACAAATACGGTTTAAAAACAATGAGCTTATGTTTTGTGCGGAGATGTCTCATACTGCTAGGGTTAAATTCTTTGTATGGTAAGAAGAGCGAAACACACATGTGTTCGGAACCAGTTCCAAGTAGACTTCGATCAAAATTTAGTAGTTCTGATTATGCGATTTTAAGAAATCATGAAAAATTGCACATATTTTATACATAATTACGATGTAGACTTCAGTCAAAATTTAGGACGTGTGCGAATTAGGCTAAGTTGATGCTAAACCAAATGGGAGATTTTTTGGGATTTTTTGCACTGCACACATTTAGCTATTTATCAACACGTATCGACACATCACTACATTATCGGCACAACTTAGAATTTCCCTCATTTAGAACGCAACTTAGCCTAACTCGCACACGACCTTAGTAGTTCTGGTTGTGCGATTTTTAGAAATCAAGACAAATGGCACATATACTATACATTATTATTATTATATTTTTTTTCAATGCTCTATGATTAAAAGTGAATTTCTTTAGAACTTCGCATTGGAAGATTGCCCTGCCCAAGTGTGTGAAAGTCGTCGGTGCCGTGTGTAGGGTGCGCAGTTAAGCAGAATTTTAAACTTATTTGGATATTAGAAATCCGTATAAAGATTAGTTAGGTTTTTAATAGTTTTTTACAGTGACGATCAGATTGGAGTTTTTTGTTTGTAACTAATAGATATAAACAAACTTAAAAAACAGTAAATAAAAAAAAATTAATTACTACTGAGAATGACCAATTTAGTAGTTGATTGAACAAATTCTTTAAATAAAGATTTTTTCATTTTGATTTTTATTTAGAAAACAGCAATCTGAAATCAAACAGGAATTTCCAGCAAACATGTTAATATTTTATTAATGTTTCTTTTATATAAATAAGTTTTTTCGTTGTTCTTCAACTTCGTATAAAAATATTTATATTATTATTTATAAAATTCCGTGAACAGGTTCTAAACATTTATTTAAAATCGAATCTTCTTCTAATGCCACCAGCCACAAAATTTCTTTATGCCAATAATTAAAAACACTAATTATTGGGATTTTTAAAAAAATTACGTCATATAAATGGAATTGTCAATATTAATAACCGAATTTGTATAGTAAATATAAACAAAAATCACTTACCAATAGGTGCTCTTATGCCAGAAACATCGGCTGCCAATTGCTGTGCCTCAACTTCTGCTTTGCAGACAGTAATATTGAAATCCATGGATGAGGCAGTTATATTCGCTATTTCTGGCGTAGCACCCAGTGTTGTGTTCGTAAAGTCATAGCTATCGCAATTAATATCCCCCTTATCCAATGTTGTATCACAAACAATCTTATTGTAATGCAAATTAACTCGACAGGCCTGGAAATGTCAAAATCACGCATTAATATTGACAAAGGGTTTTTGGTATAGGTATATTTGGTACAATATTAGATTAGCGGTAACAGAATTGGAAGCGTAATCACCTTCTCAAGTGGAAAACTTTGCATAGCCACCGAATTAAATACACTAGCCATTAGATAGAAGAAGAAAAATGGTTCTATCACTAAATATTTTCGGTACTGCCAAAGTTTCTGAAAGTAATTTAACTTCTCCGGCTGGGACTGCATTTCTGCAGCGGAGTTACGATTTTCAGACATGTTTTCGCGCAATAGTTATCTTTTCGATTTTTATATTAATATCTTAAATTTTTTTTGTTTTGTTTTTATTTTACTAAATGATTTCATTCAAAACTACTGCATTTCCTAAAATATTCAAACGTAATAATCGCACTAAACTTTTCGAAAGACCTTCTTTTCCTCCAACGAAATTTCAAAACTCGACTTCGCACGTGCTTGATTTCCATAGAACTAAATTCCGACTTGAATGCTTTCTGCAGCATACAGCCAGCCTCCTGTCTAATGATTTTTGTTTGGATTCAAAGTTTTGTCTTTATTGGTTTCATTGCTTTTATTCTATACACATTTTAGGCATTTAGATATCACTTTTATCTACTCTCTAACAGAAGATGCTTGCTTTTTCCATACTCGAAAAACTGGAATTTGTGAATGAAACTCAGTTTTTACTTCGATTGAGAACTGTTTTTAGCTGAAAGCAACAGCACACGGAGAGGAGGTTTTTACGACATTCTACAAATAAAAAAATTCTCAGAAAGTTTGTTTTTTTATAAATTAATTTATGCGAAAATTTTGTTGTTATTTTTATATCAGATTCAGTTTTAATAACTTGTATCTTTCAGTATAACTATCTCATACTACATACTACATACTACAATATATAAATTCATACATAAAATTATCTCGAAATTAACATAAAACATTTAAAAAAATTGCATAACCGCAAAATATTAATTATAGATTGCAATAATAAATAATAAATATTTTTATTTTATTTTTTTTAAATTTTTCTAAAATTTTCTAAATCACAGCAAGAAATGTAAAAAATAAATGCGTATATAGTCAGACGTATTTTTTATAAATTGTATGAAATTCAGTTCCTGTTTCACGAGCTCAGCTGTGGTAGTGAAGTGAAATTGTTTTCATGACTTTCTTAAAAATCTTATGAAAGTATTTAAGACAAAAAATATACAGGTTCTTTATTTTTCAAGAACTGCAAAGATCACATTTTTTATTTCTTTCGCAAATCTTAAATGCACAAAATTGATTTACTTATTTCTCTTATCGAATATTTTTAATAATGATCCTGACAAGAGCCGAGCCAAGATGTTTGGCATTCATAGTTGCAACTTCCCTTTTCCAGTAGCTTTTAAATATTAAGAGTAGTCAAAAATACTCGAGGCCCTTAGTTGGCTGAACATGTCACACCGCCTACAAAAGAAAAAAACATATATTTTAATATATAAAATTTTCTACTGATACAACATATTTGTGGTAAATAAGTAGCTAAAACGCTTAATACCAATGAAAGACCTCAGGACAGTCCTGATTATTTAAATAAAGTTAGTTGCTTCATTAAAGTGATGTATTAGTTTTAATAGTGTATAATGTGGTTCTATTGTAAAAGAGACTATGGTATAATATAGTATACTGACCTGTAGCTAGAAAGTCGCTTCGGAGAGGCGGTTAGTGTGTGTGTATATTAGATAATTACAGTAATTTAAAAATTTTTTTTAGTTAATAGTAATGATGCTTTAATAATGAATTATCGTTTGTATAAATATAGTTCATGAAGGATTTCAACCCTTAAGCTTCATCAACTCATATGCCACTGACTACATGACTGATCATATATAAAGAATAATAAGTATCGGCTCTAGGTATTATCTCAGCATAAAAAATGTTCGTCTAAGTATTCTCATTGTTTGAAAATCAATTCTTTTACCAATAAAAAAAAACATGGAGCTCAGCAAATCTGAGCTCTATTACTTTAAACAAGCATCTTGCAATCTGTTAAGGATACCTCAAAACTCAAATTTTGCTACCTCCATACAATCAAGTTCTTTTTCACGAAGTATGTACAAAGACTACCAAGTGGTAATCAGACTGTTCAAGAGGTATAAAAACATTTCGGTAGCATTTAAAGTTCTTAGATCTAAACTTGCCTAATCCAAATAGGTTCTAAGTACATCTGGAAAGGATAAACAAGAACATGCACCGAAACGTCAGTATTTTCTCGAGTAGTTCGATTCAAAGCCCAAAAGGTAAATGTTCCTGATAACTCAATTTAAACCAAGCTCTTTACTGAAACATAGAAGAGCTTAATTGCAATTGAAAACAATAGCATTGATAGACCAAAAACTTATGGATATCAAGCTCTATATTTTCAAGGATTTTCTAAGTAACAGTTTTTCACGTACCTATGATGAATGGTTTAATTATAGAACGTTATAATCAACGTTATAATCATATCACATTGTCATCACCAAAATGGGTGATGTCTGGCCAGATGTTTGATTTTGGGTTAGATTAGCTTGAATTTATTACCACTCCAAGCTATACATAGAATTTTGGGGACCCTATTATGATTCGGAGAACATCGGAGTCAGAGTTATACTATAAATTTATTGCACCCCATGGGAGCAATAAGTATTTCACAATTCTAACTTTCTCTATGAATCATATTATTGAATCCATATTAGAGAATATTATTTCTTCATCCGATATGAGCTGCCCATCTAGATTCTCCTTTCGTGTATGCATCAGTACAGGGCAAACTTTTAGCAGGTGTTTTAAAGTCTTATACTCGTCGTTGCGAAGTATATGTTTCATTGGAGTAGGTTTCCAGTTTTGTAAGGCGATAGTTTAACTTTGTTAGAATTCCTTTTTAACTATTATGATTTTTATAAGTTGAAAATTCCTGAAACCAATTTTGATTCTGAAAGTCTAGTCATGTATACTGTGTACATTCTATAAAGTTTGAATCAATGATACTGTAAATCATATTGAAATTGTTATAAAATCATTAGGAGCGCTATAAGAAGCTCTTTTACTTAGATGTTTTTTTTTTATTATGATAATTATTTGATAAATTGAAACATGCTCTTTATGTAATAATTTCAAAGAAGATCTAATAGAATATATTTAATAAATTCTAATTATTTAGCTTAATTGTTTTTCCTATCATTCAACTTATAAATATTTTGTTATTAACATAAAAATATTACTTTTTATGTCCCGATTGCTAATAAAAGTCTCTATTAATAGTAATGAATAGTATTATTTAAATATATTTATATTATTTTATTTCTGTCATAAAACTAAAGAATTGTATAATATTAATCATATTATAATTAATTTCTTAACAAAATTAGACAACAATTGGAAATAAAGCAATTATCACATAAAAATAATTTAATTTTTTCAAATATTAAGCAATACAACCATTTTTCCGCTTCCATATGAATGCACAGTTCGCTTTTTCTCAGTTGATAATGTAAATTTGGATGAAAAATAAGAAAATTGAGAACCAAAATAACAGAGTTGCCGAATTTCACAACTAAATCTGACAGTATTTATGCAATTAATATGAATTATGCAGGTTTTTAGCTGTTTTACTATATCAAATTTTAGAACTATTAAACGAATACATTAAAACATTAAAGAGGTAGTAATTTGATTATTAATTGTTTGCGAAATGTTGATATTAGCTAATGTGGATCGAAAGAGCTTGTTAATACACATTATTTAATTTTTAATGACCAGCACTGGCAACCCTATTGCAAGCACGTACATATTTTTAACACAATTTACCAATGCCGTTCCATTTACTTGAATCGCACTGTCAGTCTGCTTTAAACTTTCTTTCTTGCCTGTGTTTGGTGTTGCGTTTGTATCGTGAGAAATAAAATTAATTATAAATTGTTGTGATTTTTTGCTCCTTTATGTTTGTCCAATCGAAAAAGAAAGCAGAAGCATCCTTTTATAATATAAAAATAAAAACGACGCAATTTTCCAATTTTTAAATATGGAGGAAATTTAGTGTAATTTTATGTAAAAATATTTGGACAAGTGCAATACAAAACTAAGCAAGGAATACAATTACGAAAGTATAATAAAAGGAAGAGGAAAAATACTTACTGTGCTTGCAAATTAAATAAAGTAAGAAATGAATGTGAATATATAAATATAAATCGAAAGTAATAATATGTAATAATACATTATAAATATGATTATAAAAATGATTGCTTAACATCAAACATCAAAATATAAAATAAAAGGCAAGAGAAAAGTGTAAAACTAAGTAAAATTAAAAACGTGTTATATTTCATATGTGAAGTGAAACAGAGCAGTTGTGCAGATACAAAAAAAAAATAAAAAAAAAAATTTACTGTTTAGTGCAATTTTTGAAAAACCCTTTCACTGCCTTAATTGTTTACATTGTCCGGAATATTTGTTGTTAGTTTTTGATTTTTGATTTTCCTTTCTTACATTTATTCTTTATTTTCATTCGTTTGTTGTATTTGTTTTCTTATGTTTTACGCGTGCAACACATTTTGTTTTCGTTATCTGATGTGGATTTTGTCTTCCTGTGTTTTGTTGCGTGGCTGAAGGACGACGCCTTTTTAAAGTGACAACAGCAGCGTTGCTGCGGCTGCAAATATTTTACATTTTTATTAGTCATACTTTTTATTTTTGATTGAATTTTAACTGTCGAGGAGATTTTGGTGTTCATCACAAATTCAACTGGACGACGACGCAGCAGCAAAATGGATACATTTCGTAAATGGTTGAATAAGCCCAAGGTAAGTCTGTTTAATAAAAACAAAACAAAACAGTATTGAGTTCATTCATTCGCTTTGTTTCATGTAAAACAAAGAAAATTACATTTCCATTGTATTTAATTATATTTATGTATAATGTATACAAACATTTATTTAATTTAGTTTTAGTAGTTTTGCTCTATTAATTCAAATTGCAATTAGTTCTTATCACTTGCATATTTGAATAATAATTATTCCCGTCCCTCCTTTCGTGCAGTCTGAATTTTGTTGATTGCATCAAAATAAGTCTGATATTTAATATTAATATTAACTAATAATTATTAAAATTAATTAATATTATAATTAATATTAATAATAAATAATTATTAACAATTGAATATTCTAAAAAATAAATACAATAACTTTTATTTTATGGGAACACACACACACATATATATATATAATTTTAGTTATTTTCAAAAGTATTAAAACTCAGTTTTAATTTTTTTATTTAAAATAAATATATTAGTACGTCTGTGTAGTTCCTGAAATTGTGTACAATAAATGAGCAAATACTCATTTATTATATTTTTTTTTGAAGGGAAATTCTCAAGTACATCATTTGTTTTATATTGCGGAATTATTTTATTTAAGTGAAGTTATAAATTTTTTTTATTTTTTATTACTACAGAAACAAAGCTTCACACTATTCTCTTTGTGATTGTTCGTTTTATTGTTGTTTTTAATGAATCAGCTTTTTTGCAAATTTGAGTTTGTTTTTTTCTATGTAATTGTAATTGTTGCTTACTCCCTACACTTCCGCTCCACTCATTACAACAGTAACGAATTTTCATGCATACTGTACAACACAGTTATTGCTTAAGAATATAAAAAGATATCAACACTGTTATTTATATATAAAAATCTAATTTAGCATAAATAAATAAATTTTTCATATATTATTATTACTATATGTGTTATAGGATGTTTCTTTTGCCAAATTTGGAATTAAAACCTAAGCTAGTCTGATGTAAAAAACCGAAAGACATCTTATAGAAATGAATTTACTATCTTATAGAGTATTTAATGAATTAGATTGGTTTATTTTTGTGCTCAAAATCTTCCTATTCTCTCTTAATAGCATACAAGGGCTTTTTTTTGGTTAATACATACCCGATGATAAGATTATATCAATAAAAAATCTTGTTACTAAAAATTCATACTCTTCTTTTTGGTTGTTCCGCAAGTCTCAAGTCTCCACGATGGAAGTATCCAATTGTTTCTTTCTCTTCTTTCTGTCTACAGCTTCTAATATTTTTGTTGAAAGCCGCGTCTAATTATTTTGAATGGCTTTGAATCTATTAAAGTTTTGCAATAAGTGCTGTTATTTCAATTCTTACTCTGTAAAGAAAGATTTTCATTCTTGATAAGTTATATCTCAATAAATAAAGTTATATCAAGAAAATACTACATTTGATACAAATAATTCAAAAAGTGCAACTATTACGTTAAGCTTTTAATCTTCCATCTAGCTGGCATTGACTAATTACAATAAATGAAAATATCATTATTTTTCGAAAAAAACTTTCTTCTTGATTAACCCGCTTAATTAATTATTGTTATTATAGTCAATAATAATAATTGCATTACTTTAATCATAATTCATATTACAAAGAAGTCAGTTATTATAATTAAAGTCGTCTATTGCAATAAAATTCATTTATTACAATAAAAGTTTTTTATTACAATAAAAGTTATTTATTACAATAAATGATATTTATTATGATAAATGTAGTCTATTACAATAAATGATAAATTACTAATTTTATTATAATATTATCAGTAATATATCAGTTTGTACGCTCATTCTATAATACATATTAACTTACAATTTAATTATGAGTATTCAATAGTTTTTTTTTTGCATTCTTAACATGAACAATATGAAAAATGCATCTATAAAAGTATTAAACAAATATTTTTAACCATTTGTAATAAGTATTTATCTTAATAAAAACTTGCATCATCTCAAAGATATATTTTGATAGTCATATTTATTGTGAGCTTTGGGATTTAGACAGTAAATACCACTTTTGTGAATGTCGAAATAATAATAAATCCTAATATACTGTAATAATAGTTTATGAATCATAAATGTTGTAATCTTATCTCATTGATTTATATATAAAAATAAGTGCATTTCCACCCAGAACCAGTAAAAATATTAACATAAAATTATTAACAAAAATATTAGCAGTTATGGTGTCGATATATAACAGTCGTAGTCATAAATATAAGCATTGTATTATTTGAACTTGGTGGTGAATAAAGTCACGTAAGACTGCTTCATAATTTCATTATTATTATATATTTATCAGATGTATTGATGTATTGTGTTGTCTATGACATTAAACCATATAAGAAAATTAAAACATTACGTTACTTTCATTTGTTGTTCTAATAGTGCTGCCTGGTACTCCAAAGAAAACAATGTATTATCTAGTGTTGATGGTTTATATATAAACTTCAATAAAAAGAAAAACAATGCTAGTGCAAAAAATGATAGCAATTTATTTATATTAGATTATTTGAATTAATGCAATCATAGATTAATATGTTGCATGTACAATTTTCTATGTTACTTCAATTAACTTTGTTTTTAAAATTTATTTTTTATACTAATCAAGGCATTACTCATCAAAGTTCTCATCAAAGGCTTTGTATATTTTTTTGATCCAGAGTACTGTTTATGTTGAGAATCATTTTTTTTAGACTTTTTCCGAGATTGTGTTACGAAGGAATTAAGATAGTTTTTTGTTTGTTTGTGATTTTATATTAACACATAATTAAGCCAATGTCGTTGTTTGTATAGGATTGTATGAAATTGCATCATAGTAAATTGACAACAGCATATAGTAATTTCTTTTTTGAGTGGAATGGAGATGTAATATTTGTATATTCTTAGTATTGTCATATTTGTTTATCTTTTAAGTTCCTTTTATATGGCATATTATATGGCAAAGACTCCATAAAATTGACTAATTAAAATCAATATGCTTTTGAACTTATTATGGTACTCATCATGTGTTCTTATATATACATATATCAAAAATACTTTAACAGTATAATTATAAATAAATACTTCTTGTTGTTATTTTTATAATTTCTGTTTTGTATTGTCTTTAACTTTTGTTCTCCAGCAATACAACGTATATTATAACATTTTTAACAAAATTACAATATTACAAACTTACAGTATATTCATAAATACTCAAGCTAATTATTTTACTAATACTAAAATAATAATGCATTAAATCCTAATACAATTGCTTTAAAAAAGTGAAGCAACACATTAGTGTTTAAAAGCCACCCTAAGCAAAGAGTGAAGAGTACTCATTGTAGTATTTATATATAATATAAATCTTGGCAAGCAAACAAGTATATATACACCACCACAGCAAAGTTTAGATATCAGAGTAATACTATTTACATTTCTTGCCTTAAGTTACGTTACGGATACAATAAACGACTACATTGAAGACTGTTTAAAAGTTTTCTCATTTTACTTCAACAAATGTTTATTGCTGCAATCCATTTATGCATGGCTAATATGGAAATGCGAAACAAAACAGTACAAATCACATTAAAACGTACGAATACAGGCGATCTTAACCATTTACTCAATCAAATCAAAAGCAAATGCAACAGTGTATGGTCGGGCCGCTTGTTATTTGCAATGATTTGGCTAATTATATGCCACATGTGCTGCGTGCGGGTATGTGCCGGAGAGCCTATGAAGTCGAGCTGTTCAAATATACGTTGTAGCGCGCAAAGCACGAGTCAAAGTCTAACGTTCAACTGCGAAAGCAGTTCCATGCCTTAATCATTGCGACACGCACATCGCAACACTACGATGCACTGCCAAAGCAGTAGCAGCGATCGGAGTGGTGTTTATGACGTTAAACACTCGAGTGCATTTGAAGACAAATGCTTGTCTTAATGACGACAACGACGACGACTACTCACACTGCAACTGCAACTGCGAGTAGCAGTGACAACACAAACATAATGAGGTCAAGTTGGGTATGGTAACCAACAGTCAATAAAAATTAAAAATGGAATAAAAGTTATAAGAAGAGAAAAAATGAATGGAAATAAAAGAAAAGGAAAATAATAATAAAATTGAAAAAGGCACAATAAAATATATGCAGTAAACAATAAAACAAACTAAGAGATATCATTTCTGCTTAATGCACTCCAATTTGTTAGTATCTTTTTATTTCTATTCTGTTTACCCTTCACACTTTTTTAGATTAAGCATATATACAATTGTGTATATGTGTTCCCGATTTGATCTGCAATCTCTTCCGCCTATTCGCAAATGGAAAGAATCCGTCTATTTGAGCGGGAACTTCTTCGGGATTGCACCAACTACAAGCACAAGCCTGACGGCAAGCATTTCCCTAACTCTGTTCGTTATGACAATGCCAAGATCACATGTATTGACACTCGCTCGCAGGTACCTCACCCGGCTATACGACCTCCCCCCTGACGTCTCCATTCCCTGACGACTTCATTCAAGCCTTGCGCTATAAACCCACCAATACTTGTCTCACTACTTCGATGAGTGAGACTGTAATCTCCACCGCTTCGTGACACTAATCACAAAGTTTATCGCTAGTCTCACCCGCGCATATACATTTTAACCTTATCCTTCACCATTACCTTATCTCTCCCTAATTTACGTCCCTGCTTCTGGCTTAGATGAATTTAGTTCGCTAGGTATTAAGCCTATATGTTCACATCTCTCTGTGGCTGTGGAGATTGTGGCCTATCCTGCGTCATTTGTGTCTTCTTATCTTAATGGAAATCGATGAATATTTTTGTCCCATCAATGCAATAATAGTAAGTCATTTAATAAAAAATAAGTCTTTAAATGTTGAAAAATGTAAACATCAGAAGATTCGTCGTAGCCCTACTATCTCATATTCAAATTTTCGAAGCCATCTTTGGCATATTTATTGCATTTTCTTTAATTTTTT